GGGGGGGGGGGGGGGGGGGGGGCGCTTACATGCATGCGCAACTCAAGCACCACAAACAAGCCTGCAACTCAGTATTGGGCTCTCCATTCAACCAACCATGTGCGTTCCTCTTTGCGCTAGGAACCAAGCCAGCCACTATGCACTCGACACGAGGTCACGCCTGCGAAACCCTAGCATCGACACGACGTGGCGAGTTTCATTGCCAGGTCACGCACGCTCTACGGCAGGCACGCAGGCAGGCTCTTTTCACTCCTGAATCTCTCTGACCGTGAGGCGAAAATCTTGGACTCGGTGTGGGACCCATATGGCCGCGTCCACCCCCCGCAGGGAATGCTCCAGCCCTTGCCCCGCCTGCACCGGCCATCTTACCAACCCCGCTCCCCGCCCCCGCCGCGCCGCCGTTTGCAACTCCAGTCCTGTTTCCATACGGCACCGGTCCCGCCTGATTGCTGTTGAACTGCTGGTGTTGCTGCTGGTGTTGCTGCTGCGGCTGCTGCTGCTGCGGCTGCCCCTCATGCCTAGCGACATCCCCTCCTGTTCCGCGTCTACTGGGAGCCCCCGCCTGCTGCTGCTGCTTCTGCTGCTGCTGCTGCTGCTGCTGCTGCTGCTGCTGCTGCTGCTGTTGAGGCGAGGCGTTACCCTTGCCAGTCGCCACATCACGGCGACCGCCCGCCCCCGCCCCGACATTAACCCCTACGGGAGAGTGGCCCCGAGCGCCCGGGTTCGCAATCCCTCCCCCTCCCCCTCGCTGGTTAGCCCCCTGTGGCAAGCCCTGCGGCGTCAGCTTCGCGTTGGCAAGCCCCCCCCTGCCAGGCGGCGGCGGGTTCGGCGAGCGAGGCACTACCTTGTTGCTCGGTACCAGACCCCCCACCCCTCCGAGGAGCGGGAACGCGCTCGGCAGCGGCGGCGGCCCCCCCGCCTGCTGCATGGGTTTGATGGGCGGCGTCTGCTGCACCTGGCGAGCTGCCATCGCCGCCACCGCCGCGGCCCTGACGATGGGGAAACAAGGGGGCGGCGGGGGGACGAGCGCGAGAGAAGTGGTGCAAGAATCTCTGACAAATGGAAGGTGCTACGCGCATACGCGCATACGCTTGTGACGGCTGTAGGATGAAGAGGAAGCAGTCACAAAAAACAAGTCACCGAAGGTACCGATCAGAGACCGCTTTTTTCCTCGCCAACAAGACAGGCGCCAGGGGACGAGCAGCGGGTCGCAAGTTGCGGGGCTTCATGTACTGCTGGACACACGTTGTAGTACGACATTGATGAAGGCGGCATGTGCGTAGATAAACGCGATTTCTGAAAACCAGAGGCTGGAGGACACGTTCAGCACACACTCTCCTCCACAACCCCCCTTGTCGAGGGGCCCTCATGAGGATGCCCCGGTCTCGGGCGAGCTATGTAGAACAACAATATTATTGCACAGTCTGTTAGCACTTCCTTGTCATCTAAAAACCAACTTTCAAAAACAAACTAACACACCAGCACCAGCTCCGTCCGCGCGACCCCGTCCAATCGATTTTGGTGGTCTCGGAGACAAAAAATCGTACTGGACCTGACGACCCTCCCGCTGAGGCTGACGTGATTTCGGTGGCCAGCAGGGTGGCACGGTTGATGCTACAACAGGATGCACATGGCACCCGTATGCAACACAACTCATGTAGAGTAACTCAATCCACGCGGACCAAACGCGCCACTTCTATACAGAAGTGAGAGCGCTCCACAAATGAGGGCTGCTCCATAGCATATACCGTACCAAATCAATGGCAAGGAAAGGTGACACTACCGGCTGCTCGGAAGCGTTTGCCTCCACTCAGCCCATTCGTCCCACCTTCGACTGCTGTCTGCTGCGCTAATTAACATTGGATCTTCCGCGCGCAAAAGCATCGTATTACCTCTGGGATTCCATGAGTTTGCGCTTCTCGTCCTTGGCATCCTCGATCTCCTTCTCCCTCGCCGTCTCCGCCGCTTTCTTCTCCTGAAACGAGCAACAGAGGAGACGACGTCTGAGACAGCAGCCTCCACGAGCAACATCGAAAAACAATCAAACACACGCCCACAATGGACAATGTTCCCTACGACATCGCCATTATCAAACAGGAAAAAAAAAAAAAAACATACGCGGAAGCCGGGCGGGAATGAAAGCAACCCCAGCAACAAACCTGATAGATGAAGACAGCAAAAAAAAATTGGACGCAAAATGGTCAGAATACGGACAGCCCCAAGCAGCAACCTGATGAAAACAGCAGCAGTTCGACGCGAAACAATCACGCAGTAAAGCGACAAACAAGGGCTCTTGGGCCCATAAAAAAAACACACCAGCCCCCCGGTCCTCGTCGGAACCTAAACCAAGAACCAAGACACCCCCCCCCATGAGCGGCCTGGCCCAGCCCCACCTCTTCTTCCGCCCGCCTCAGCGGCAGCGACGCGTTCCACGCCCGGTTTATGCGCCGCAGCTCGAGGTTGTGCCGCCTCTTCTCCTCCGCCTTCGCGGCCGCTGCAGCAACGGTCGCCGGACCCCCGCCTACCCCAACCCCCCCGCCACCGCCGCCATCCTTTCCCGACCCTGGGACCACCCCCGCCCCCCCCCACCCCGCGCCCCCGGGGCCCCCGACGCCGCCGGACACTGCGATGCCAGCCAACGCGCCGTGGCCGTGGTTGCGGAGGGCGGAAGAGATTACCCCAGAGTTGCCCTTGCCGGCGTCGACCTTGGTGGCCTTGGCCTTGGAAGCGGGGCCCTTGCGCCGGGCGTTTGCTGCGGACGCCTTGCTGCTTCCATCAAGATGAGGAGGCGTGTGTGTGGAACATGGCAGGGGCAAGGGGAGGGGGGTTACAGCGGCAAGCCTCTAATTTTCTCCTATACTAAATAGTTTCGGCTCTACAATATATCGGCACGTGAGGTTGAACGTTGATCGGTTTTGTTGATTCAAACAATCGAAGAGTGGGCTGCTGGATTGACCACTCCGCGCCCCGCACTGGAGAAAGAGAGAGAAGAGAGAGCACTTGCTCGTCCTGCGTACCACCAGCTTGTTGGGCCTCAACACGCCGATTCCTTGCCACGGAGGAAGGGGGGGGGGGGTGTCGTGTAGCACTTGAAAGCGAGATAAAACACGTTGAATCTACCACACGCTATAGTAGATACATCCCTAGCGAGCAACACACGGCGGCGCTGAAGCGAAGGATGAAACGCGCGCTGACCTGGCTGCGGCGCTGGCCTGTTCCGCCGGGGTGACCCCGCCGTCGGGGTGCTCGAACAGCCACGACAAAAGCGCGTTCAGGTCGAAGCCCACGCACGACGTGCCTCTGTGGACGTGCTCCTCCTGGAAACCCATTGCTATCAACTGAGGGGACGAAAAATGGGGTGCGGGAGAGGAAGGGAAGTCGGGGGTGGGGGGGGGGGGTCTGCGGGTACCGCGGAGGTGGAAGGGGCGACGTGCGCCAAACACAGAAAGAAGCAAGATACGGCATGAAATAACTCGAGAGGGTACACACGTGATGAATTCGTGCCGCGTTTACGGACGAAAACTGGCATCCCGCAGGTACTTCTGCGGCCATTGCCTGACAGCAACAAGCCCAGAAAGACCAAGCTTCGACGGCCTGCGCCAGCATGACTGCGCCGTTACATCGCCCAAACCGGCACCATTTGCACCAGGTACGTCGTGGACGTGTACGCGAGTCCAACGGTGCCTCGAAAGGTGGAAACAGCAGTACAGCAGTGTATCGACCTGGGTAACCAATCGTGTACATTGAAGAAGGCACCTAAGCGGCGTCGTGATCAAATGCCAGTCGCACTCGGAGAGCCACGGAAGGGTTTCTCTGGTATACACCCCAACCAACTCTATCGCGTAGGCCGTACAGTGCAGAGCAGGACGGTAAAACTCTTGACGAGGAATGTTCCTCCACGCGTTTCGGCAAACACCAAACAGATCATACAAAACCAAACACACATGAATTTGGGCCCCAAGCACACCAAGGGCATATATAACCCTGAACGCGCCAGATAACACTCTACCTGGGCGAGGAGATCATCTCTCGACATCGAAGACTCGTGCGCGCTTTCCGAAACCGCGGGCGCGGCGGGAGAGGCGTTCCCCGCTCTAGCCGCCGCCGCCGCCGCCGCACGCGGACGCGATGAAGACGCCGCCGCCACCACCGCCACCGGCGCGCCATCCCCCGTATCCTTCCCCGTAGGAGCGCCTTCCGCGCCTCCATTGGCAGCCAAGCCTCTGTCGGCGACGCTGTCCTCGTCGCCTGCTGCTGCGCGTGTGTGTTGAAATTGTTATTCTCGTTGTGTCAGTTGTTGGCGGTACATCTGTGCAAGTTGCGGTTGCTGGTCGCTACCAAAAGCAACAAAACAATCGCTGTAGTGGTTGTCGTCAACGTGTGGTGGTATGTGCGGTCCCGAGTGAAAATGCGGAGCGCACGACCGATCAAACCCCAAACGGAAAAAGACAAGCGCGAACAACAATCTGCCAGTCCTTCCGCCAATCGGTCGCGAACCATCGGTTTTCATGTACATGCATCACACGCCTGACCTCGACTTCATCCGCCGCCTGCGCTCTCTCGTGTAGACCCCCTGCCCATTGTGGCGCCAGGTTCACATGAACTCAAAACTCCTACCCCCGTACATGTAGCAAAACCCCGGTGCCTCGGCCCGGGCGAAGTGAAGCGAGAAGAAACCGCAAACTCTCCCAGCCATCATCCATACACGGCGCTACAATACGGCCGAGTGGCAATCGCGTGGACACGTCTCCGCCGCCCCCGCCCTCCCAAATCAACCCCGGCCAAACCTGTCTTGTTGTTGCTGTTCTTCTTCTTCTTGGCCTTCTTGCCCTTCTTGGTCTTGCCCTCCTCTGCCTTTCCCTGATCCTCCTTGCGGCCCTTCCTCTCCTCCTCCTGCCTCTCCTCGCGCTCCAGCCTCTCCTGTTTACGTGTCGGGGTCATGGCGAACACGGAAGTTACCACCGACAAACAGCAATCCAAACATGACAACAGCAACAATCCGAACACGACAACAATAACAATAACACCAACAATGACGACGACAGCAGCACCAGCAGCACCAGAAGTCATGCGGTCAGTCAAAACTATCACAACTGTGAACGCAACTCGAAGCCAAGTAACCTCGCCGCACAGGCCCCGGATAATCATGCCAGCCCCCTGGTCCATACAGGGGGCCATCGGTACTTGAAAGGTGGGACAAAGGGTGCTGCTGCCTGGCACCAGGCACCCAACATCGGCCTAGCTAGCCCCCGCCAGGAAAAATGACCTGCACACAGCAGTCATCAAAGCACTCCCGTGTATCCGCGCAAGACCGTGAATGCTACTTCACCCCTAGCCCGATCGTTCCACAGCCCCCCGCCAATAAAACACTTTCGTTTTGATGGGCATCTGTTCAACTCCACCCTTCCCGGAGCCGGCTGGCCCTGTTCCTCAGCTGTCGACAAAATCGGGCATGGGGAAGCGACCGCACCTCTGCAGTGCGAGGCCGACCGACGGCACTTGCGGCCGCTTCTTTTCGACCACCGCCGGCGAAACAAACCTACTGCTACCGCCCGGCAGCACCTCTACCAAAAACGCCGCGCTCTGCCATGAAAACGAGGCAGCAGCTCGACCTTGAGAAAAACCTTCACGAAGGACAACGGCGGCCGGCACAACACCACACCAACAACACGGCCATGGCCGCGGCAGCACACAGCGACTCACGGCAACGACGCCCTACACACCACATCGTCGCACACACTACCCCGCGTTGCCCAAACAACAATCCACACTATTATAGCACACCCCCCGCCACATCGCAGTTTGGGACCCGCGCGTTTGCCGCACCTGCTTATCCTTGAGTTGGCGCTGCTTCCGGGAGAGCAGCTCTCTCTCCCTGGCTTCCTTCTTCTTCTCCTTCTGCACTTCGGACCTTTTCTTCGCCAGCTGTTCGTTTCATTTTCAATCCGAGGCGTCCGTCCGGTCGTGTCCCCACCGACGAACCCGATCGACGCAGACAAGACGGCCATCGAGTTCCGTTGTTGTCAGAGGATCCGCGCCGTTGGGTTTCTTGGCAAACAATGTGTACGCGAGTGGGTGCTGACGCTTCGTTCGTTTGCAAAAAAAAAAACTGTTTCTCAAGAAGCGAAAAACGGGCGAAATCGCCTCGCCTCAACAGAACGAGGAGGAACGACAACTAGAACAAGTAACGTTTTCTCACGAAGCAAAACTCGCCCCGCACGCACGCACGCACACACACACAAACGCAACACAAACCCCCTACAAATTCATTTGCTAACCCAGACTATCTGTCGATGGTTTAAAAATTGGCATGCGGACCCTCCGGGTCCATTTTATTTGAGCGTGCCTCTTTCAGGGAAATTAGCCTTTGACCACGGGAATCGCTCCGTCAAGTTTGTTACCAGTACGGACAGATGAAGGTACTAGGTAGAGAGATCGGAACGGTTTTTAATGTGAAGAAATTGCAATCTATCACGGACTCTTTATCTGTTGGAAGAGATGCATATGTTGTGTTGATGCTGAGAAAAGTATCCCCTTCGACTGCTGTGGTACTACCTCGAATTGGTAGTCTTTCTTGATTGCACGCGTACTTTCTGAAAAAAAACTTATTTCGCAAAACACGCACCACACCTCCCGCCAACTACTCTTTGTCCAACAGCCACCTCAGCACGATAAAAAAAAAACTCTCTCACCTTCGCCTCTCGTTCTTTCCGCTCTCGTTGCTCCTTCGCCCGCTCCACCGCCTGCGTGGCAGCACTCAGCTGCCTCGCGACCTCCTGCAGCCCCTTCTTGCGGGGCCCCGCTCCCTCCTTCGACAGCAGGGCCCTCGCCAGCTGCAGCGCGGTGCCGCCATCCCCTCCGCCCGCCCCGCCACCCCCGCCTGCGCCGTTGGACGAGCTGGGTTCGATGCCGTCGAGAACGGCGCCGCGGACGCTGACGCTCGCGCCCGCGGTGAGGAGCGTGGACACGCCCACCGGGCTTCCTTCTGCCGCGGCGTAGTGCAGCGGCGTCCAGCCCTTGAGGAGGCACCTCTCGTCCAACAGAATCTGATCGCGTCGCTCTGTGGGGGGAAAAGTGTTCCAATGATGGGCGCGAGAGAGCGAGACAAAGAGAAGCGCACACACACACACAAACAAGAACAGAGCTCCGAGAAGTAAGTAGACGTCGAGTGCCGCAAAGAAAAACTGTAGGCCAGTCTACAGCTCCCGCAGAGACCCCCTCGCGCTACAAATGGTTTTTAGTGTCACCTCGGACCGGGGGGGTCTGCAGCTCAGAGAGGCAAGACGACGGTTGGCTAGGAACAATTAGACAACAGCTGTCCTGGAAGTCTTCATGTTCGGAACTTTGCACCTGTAATAACCACTTACGACGATGTTTGCAACACCGCAGTAACGTGCCAAGCCGACCAAAACAAATCGCCGCCGACAACAGTTTCAAAAAGGCTGTCGTGGAGTGGGTGCCCACAAAAAAAAGCTGTCCCTCCCCGGGCGCGCTGCAGCGGCAGCGGTACGTCGCACTCGTCAAGACCTCATGCGCGCACTAGGGTCAATACAACGCACATCCTATACTACCTTGCCTCTCTCAAAGAGCTCATGGGTGTAATCGGGGGGGGGGGGGGGGCAAGACAATACCCACCTTGCGACTTCTGCCTCTCCTCCAGCAAGAGCGCAAGGTAAGGAAGGTCTAGGGCCTCCGCGACCCTGTGAAGGACCGTCAGCCCCACCGAGTCGACCCACCCTGCGTCCACGGCAGGATCAGTGCTGGCCAAGATCATCTGCAGGGGCCAAACAGACAGACGGAGGGGGGGGTGATACCGGAATCTGGCAAAGACCACTACAGCAAAGGACAAAAACCCTTCGATCGCCGGCTGTCGCGAGCGCAAGCCCAAAAACACAACTCCCATGTCCCGTGGGGACGTGGAACACACAGGAAGAAGACCAGCAATATTTCAGGCGGGAGGGGGGGAAAGGCGACGCGTACATCAACACCATGACCACAACAAACTACGACACACATGCAAACACCCACACCACACCACACCACCAACCGAAACTACAACGCGCACCGCCGCGATGCTGAGGCGATCGATTGCCAGCTCCTTGAGCTGAGGAGCGTTGTCCGGGCTGCCAGCGAAGTCTGTCACGCACGAGTGAAGCAGCGACGCTCCCGACGACCCGTTCTCTCGCTCTCGCTCCGTGCACCGGATAAGCCCGGTCCCGAGCATCAGTCGCACCTTGACCGAAACCAAACGGGACCAGGGGTGTCAAAAATGTGTGCGGTTCGGGGGGTGGGGTCGTCCAAGCTTAAGGCTTCGCGTGCGTGATGGGTTTATCCATACTTCAAGGCTTTTCGTGCGCGATGGGTTCTAACTCTCCTTTAATCTGGTTCCGAACTCCACGCAAAGAGACGAAACCCTGCGCTTGGGTGCGAAAACAAAAAAATACTCGTTCAGCAGAGAAGCCGTTTCGATCCCGCGGCGATCGACACGACAAATGTTGCTGAAAATTCAACTTCCGGCTGCTCGAGAACAGCTCGCGGTACATTCTTACACGAGGACCTCGAAACACTCGCCACCGGTTCCGCAGCATGAAAAACGAAGGCCAGCTACACAAGAACAGCAGTAAGTAGCTGCTGCTGCTGCTGCTGCTCCCGCTGCCGCGGCCGTCTCACCTCCTCCACAAAGCCCGCCCTACACGCCGTGAAGAGTCCCACTCTTCTCTCCTCCTCGGCCTTCCTCTTCAATCGAACAACCTCCTTCCGCTTGTCGGCCACGCTAGTGTCCTCGTCCTTCTTCCCCTGGTCATAGCAGCCAATCGCGAAACACAACAGTAGCAACGTTGGAATTTTTCCAGCGCCGAGGGCGGATTCCCACAATGAAAGGACACAAAAAAGTCCTTCACAACAAAGACTGCGAAACGAAGATAAACAAAAAAATGACATCAAAGAGTTGAGACACAAAAACTTCACATCAAAGAGCATGAAACCTTGCACGCACCGTAACAGACGCAAACGTCCTATTCTATATAGTAGCAACAAATCGCCACAAACCCAACCAGCAAGGGCAACCAGGTGCAGCCACTGCTATTGACAGTGTTTCAATCGAGGAAACAAAGAAGTAGCATGGAGCGTCGAAATGCCAAACTTTAGGAACCGCACAACACCCAAACGACCAAGACGCGCTGGTACTGGTTATATGGAAACACCAATGGAACAAGGTCAGATTTCAGAAAACAGCGAGAACGGAAACGGGAATGACGAGAGTGCGTGCCCAGCACATGCAAGGACTCATCACCACAGCTGCTGCCGATCGCTCAGCTTCACAAAAGAACCTCCATCACTCAAGCATACATACGATCGTCTCTGCTCATACTCCTTCCCAGACAATCAAAGCCCAATCGTCCCAACGCGTACCTACGATCGTCTCTGTTCATAGTCCTCCTCAGATAACCATAGCCCAATCGTCCCAACGCGTACATGCGATCTCGTCTCTGCTCATCCTCTTCCCCATATAACCATAGCCCTACATCATCGTCCCAAACCGTGTGCGCAACTAAACATGTTGAGCTCCCTCTACCGCCTGACGCTGCCCTCGTTCAATTAGCGAGACTCCCCGGCGTACCCCAATCGCGCACATATCCTCGTCTGCGCCCACAAAACTCTCGGTCCTCCTGGAAGCATGCACGTGGCCAACATCACACACCTCATCCTGCTGCGCATCCCTCTGGTCCGCCGCCTCCTTAGCAGCAGACGCCCTCTGCTGCTGCTTCTTCTCCCTCTGCCGCCGCTTCTTATCTTGCCGCTTTTTCAGGGCTCGCGCTTGCCGTAACGCCTGCGTTGTGCCCCGCCGCCCCCGTCCCCGCCGCCCATACGGTACCGTACCGACCGATCGAAAATAGATAAATCAGATGGGAGAGAGAGAGAGAGAGAGAGAGAGAGAGAAAGAGACAGACAGACAGAGACAGACAGACAGAATGAGAGAGGGCATCGGCAACGGAGAGCAGCTGCTTTTACAACAACAGCGCGGCGTGAACGAAAAAACTCACACAAACACGAACGATTTCCAGCGAAAAAGATCGAATCCTGCGAGACCGTCCGCGGCAGTGAGTAACACCAGCAGCACTTTTTTATTACAAAGGAAATTATCCATCCACACACTCATGTCTTTCGGTTTGGAGGAGCGACGCAAACACGCGCCCATGAGTGGTGTGAGGGTACTATTGCTGTCATGGAGATTTCGCTTCATCCCTACCTCCACCCCCACCCAGGAGGAAGGAACCACTGGCCATCGGTCCTGTGGGAACAATGCTCCGTCCTCCCGAGGACGCGTGGTCAATGGTCTAACCGCTAAAAGGCATGCAAGACATGAGTGCCCCCCCCCCCCTACCTCATCTTCGAGCTGGACCGCCTCGCTTGTACCCCCGCTTGCGCCGCCTAGCCCCGCCGCCCGCTGCTGCTCAACCTCCTCCTGAGTAAAATACATAACAGCAAGCAGTCAACTTATCAGAGCATGCGCGAGAAAACACGCGTTTCCAAAGGGCAAGCGACCCACAGCAGCGGATCACGCTTTCCGCGACAAAAGGTGCTCTCAATGCCTATCGTAAGTCGCGCGCGTTGCAAGAATACAAACCAGACCTACCTGCCGTACATTGTATGTCGAAAAAACTAATCACCCACAGACAATATTTTCGATCACGCGGTCAAGAAGAAATACCTTGAGGTTCATGTGAAAGTAGTGGCGGACCATCGGCTCCCACAGGCACTCTCCGCCCGCCGCGGCGGGGCCCCCGGCCCCCGCGGCCCCGGCCTTGAACGCCTCCGCGGCGGCGGCGGCTGCGGCCACGGCAGCCGCGGACGCCGACGACGCCGACGACGACCCGGCCGCTCCGGCAGCCTCGCCACCACCGTCACCGCGCTGGGCGCACTGCTGCTGCTGCTGCTGCTGCTGCTGCTGCTGCTGTTGTTGTTGCTGCTGCTGCCCGTGGGTGTCCGGCTCTGGTTCGCAGTCTTTCATGGTTCATGATTTGGGGTATTTTGCGCCCGCAAAGAAGAGAGAGGGAGGGAAAAGGGCATGAGCGTTTCGCGGGACAAGAAGGGTCGCGTTCAGGAGAGCAAGGGTCGGGAGGTGAGGCGATATGGGACATACCGCCCGGTCCTTAAATCGATGTTGTGGGTCAATCCTCGCTCTCATCAGCGGGGAAAAGCGCGCGAGAGAGGAGGCTCCAGGACCCCCGAAAGTCCCACAGCAAGGAGGTTTTAACCGTCTGGCACTAAGCCGAAGACAGAATGGAGAGGACGATTATTCCACCATCGGCAGGACACCCTCATGGGGTCCAAGATCATGGCCTTGGAAGCAGTTTCTGTTTTTCAACTGCGCTGAGATTGTGGTTTGCGCGGTCGATGCAGTTACCAACAAGAAACAGACACACACACATACACACGAAAGACGTTCACGTCGTTTTCGTTTTTCCGGCCGCCAGCGCTGACCTTCATCCAGGTCAAACTCTTCCTCGTCGTGGTCGTAGTCTTCCTCTCGGCCCTCCCCATCTTCCTCCTCGCTGCTCCAGGTCTGCCATGCATACGGTCCACGACGAAAGGCATCGTACCATCAGAGCAACAGCAGCGGTTCGTCGTGAGAATTTACGGGGCTTCCTCTACCTCGCTTCTTCAAGGAGTACCATACAGTAGCGGCGTTGCGAAGCAAACAACGGCTAAGCGTAGAGAGCGCGTGCGTGAGTATATTTTGTAATTTGTCGATCAACATACGTATAATACAGGAAGGCGAGCACTCCAGAGGCCACGTTGGGGGGGATTCCCCGGCCCTGTCGCCGTTACATAATCATCTGTCACCACGCAACCGTCACGCAGCCCGTCCACATTCGCGCACCTCCTCTTGTGGCCTCTCGCCGAACATCATGCTGAACGCCACGCTAGCGCTGGGCATATCTGCCATGTCTGGCGGCATCCCTTAACAGCGAGACAACGAGAGAGAAAACGCGCGATCGCAAGGAAGAGAGGTGGTCGCCATGAAAAAAGACACAGGTCTAATAGCGAGTACGGTAGCGGGGAAAAACGAAAAGAGACATGCGCGAACCGGCCCGTGGCCGTGGTGACAGCAAGGCTGCCGTTCCTAACTTGGAGGCCAAAAAACTAAAACGTTGTTTCATCACAGTGGTGCCGACCCGTATTTTCATGAAACTCTTATCGAACACCACGTGGAAAACCCGAACAGCGTTCGTTTCGAGCCGAGCCCCGCCCGCATCTTCCTACGGGTGGGATGCTGGCCCTACGCTTGTTGTGGCTTTCCCAAGCTCAGCAACAACTCACGCTGCTGACGTGTTTATGCTCTCGAGCCCAACTCAACCAACCAAACCGAAAAACCAGTGCTGTATCTACATGTTGCCGTTCTCTTCCGCGATGCGCTTCACAAGCTGATGCACAACGAATGGAACACCGGCAGTTATTAGTCGCTCGCAAAGCTGTTTCGGCCTGCCGTACTCGCTCGCTCGCTCGCCCGCGCTCTCACCTGGGGGCATCTGCACGTGCCCTCCCTTGCATCCGGGGCCGCAGCCGTTCGGCATGCTGGGGATGTCGCTGCCGAACATTCCCACTAGCTCCATGAACATGGACATGAAGGCTCGCATCTCGTCAACGTCGTCATAGAAACGCTCGCTCCTGCTTCCAACACAAACAAGGGTACAGCACGACGTGTTTGTTCATCGCACATCGACGGCCGGAGACAAAAAAGCGGTACAATCTATCTATACATACCCAAACAGGAAACACACGTTAACGCATACACCACAAGTGCAACCTGGATATATATTCATAGAACAAAAACACATTTCACTTCAAGCTCGTTCGAACACACTCGCTCACACCACAAGTGCACGCAAGAATAATATATTCATAGAACAAAAACACATTTCACTTCAAGCTCGTTCGAACACACTCGCTCCTGCACGTGGGTGCACGGAACAGCCGCACTCGACGCCCTGACGCCTGCCTGGATCGCATGTCAAGCTCTGGGAAATCGAACCCGGTCGCGCGAAAAGCTTGCGCGTGATGCACTGCTGTACTCATGCAGGAACGAGCTGTGTACGCCGCTGCTCACCCGTCGCCGTCATGATCCCGGCCGGATTCCCCAGATACGAGCCGCGTGTACGCCACGGACACCTTCCATCACGGCACACACAGCACGCGACATTGCCAAGGTTAGTTTTCGGTTTGGTTCATGCGCCAAAGTGCAGGCGACCGTATTGTTGGGTAGGAGTTGGATTGGTATCGTGGGCTTCCTCAAGAGCAGGCGTCGAGCAGATGTGCACCGAGGGCGAGATACCCGCAGTGAGAGAAAATGCGTCTTTAGTACCTAAATACCTACCGCAGCTCGCCCCCACCCCCTCCCCTCACCTCCTGGAAGCGTTCTTTAGCGTCGGCCTCCTTGCACTTGTCCGGGTGCCATCTCAACGCCAGCCGCCGGTAGGCCGCCTTGAGCGTCTCCGGGTCGGCGTCGACGGCCACCCCGAGCACCGCCGCGGCGGCTTCCAGCTTCATCCTTTCCTCGAGAGGCGGCAACCAAGCTTTCCTGCTCTTGTCACTCGTTCGATTCAAGCCACGTACGTGCTGGGTTTACGTGAACAAGAGAGCAAATAAGGTACGTAAGGGAGTTTTCATAAACAATGAGGCAATACGGGAGTATCGGGCTGTAGAGAGATGGGGCCGGGGTGAGGGCTTCGTTTACCCTCGCAACGCTGCGTTGTCTATGTAGCGAAAGTGATTGAAGGTAGGCCAAGTGTTCAGAGGTTGCGGAAGCCGCATCGTCGCAAACACCGGAAACACAAAGTGAACGACTCTCCACAGCAACGGCGAGGAAAGAGGCGCCCCCAGGTCCTTCACGGAACCATCCCATACAATAGCGGAAAGTGGAGCAGCGAGCGTCCCCCCTCCTCGCACTCGTGCAAATCTTAAATTTATCCTGTCGTTCATGTTCTTCTCTCGCAGCAGTGGCAGGTAATCCCCCGCTCGTCGTCGTGCGCTCCGAGACGCACAAAAACTTTTGCCAAAGGAGGATCTTGTACGGATCGCACATGTAGCTTCACCACGTCTACTCTTCCTGGCAGGGACCAGCCAGAAGCTGCTTCCGTGCATGCAAACCCCTAACCCGGTGCACACCTGCAGTTGCTGTCGACTCTGCACTCGCTGGTGTTACGACCGCAGCTACATCAAGCTGGCGTACAGGAGTATGTGTCAAGGCTTTTCCATAGTTTTCACCGTTGTACCTGGCTCTCTCTCTCTCGCTCTCTATCTCTCTTTCTAAGACGTACCGCTCTGCTTCAGATACGGAGACGGTTGTTTCGCTCGGACTCACAGCCTTCCCATGCCCCCTGCCACACTTCAACCCAGATCACGGCGACTACTACTACCCGACCCGGCGTTGAGCTACACAAGGGCGCGCGCACACGAACGGTTCGTGTGTTGCAAAAATCCGCGTGGAGATTTACACTGCTGCCACCTTCGTCAAAGGAAGACTCGTGATTGTGAGACCTGCACCTTCCAGGAGCAAGCAGGGGCTGAAACGAAAGCACGAGTACGGGAGCGCCACCAACCTCATCTGCTTCCGAGATCGGTCGCCCGCCCACTCCGGGGAATACATGGTTCTGTTACATCCCTCTCTCTGGCACAACGCATCGGTGATTCAACCCTGTTCCTCTACACGGATGACGAATGCCATTTCTCACGAACAACAACAGCAGGCACAATGCGCAAACACACGGCACGACACACACGACCAAATCCGCGAGGCGCGCCAGCTGGACTGGGTCGACTGGGGGAAAGTAGCAGTGCCCCTTGGGAGGCCCGCTCGGGTCGCATGGCCTGGGCAAAACGTATGCCCGATGTGGTTCCTGGGAGGCTAAAGAGGTAAACTTTCGATAGGAAGAGCGGGTATGTGTTGAAAAAACTATGTTTAGGGGGTCCGCTCTGAAGACCGATGATGATGATGAAATGATCTGGTGCTCTCCGCAGCGAACGCCCACCAAAGGAACAGAGCACCACTAGCAGCACTGAGGGAAGGGAATCGTGGATTACCTGACCTATCACGGATCCTGCAAAAGGCAAGGCCCCGCCTCAACCTACAGCAGCGCTAAAAAAGACAAGGTGTGAGGGAGAAGAATGCGACGACCATCCTTCGTGTTTCCGTAGATAACATCAAATATGAACTATGCCTTGACCAAATCCAGCTCGTTTCGTGTGTCACGAAAAACGGGGGTACGTAACGCTGGTGCTTTTTCTCACATTATTGGTAACGGGGCACTACCGGGCCCGCAGCTCCTGGCTCCTGCTGGCTCCTCGCCTCGTGTGTCTCTCAACTCCCCTGCCTTTTGCCTCACACAATTTTTTTCAACCTCATTTTTGTGTCAAAACATGCCTCCGTCATTATTTTTGCTTTTCGGGGACAAAACCCTGTCTACCGTGCCCCCCTCAAGGGGCCCTCCATATGGAAATATCGGAACACCCCAGCCCCCCCCCCCCCCCCCCCGGGGCAAAAATGGGGGGGTTAAGGTGGCCGCTTGGACACGGGGGAATTTGGGAACGGGGGGAAACAAAAGGGCGAACTGAAGAAATCAGGGGGGCAAATACGGGGGAATGAAAAAACAGCAAAAAGTTGGGGAAAATTTTTGGGGGGGGCGCCCCCCTAATGGTGGAAATATTTGTGTAACCGGCTAAAATAACCGAACAACATGCTTGGAGGGAGGATTTTTTGGATATAAGACCTATCTCTTGTGGGAACACAATCTTGTCGATAAATCGGATATCCGTGACGTGTTAATTTGTTTTGATTGTCTCGCCAGCGGTTGGTCACACAAAATACAAACCGAAGGAGAGTGCAACCTGTTGAGGGTCTCACACGACACGCACGCAGGGTTCGAAGTTCGGTGAGCAACATACATACATAGTGTAAAGAGAGGAACCCATCCATCCGTCCATGGGTTGAAGTATTTGTTTATTATTTACAACGTGTCGTGTGTGTGAGAACAGGGTCAAAAAGATTTGTCCTCGTGTCTTGAGTTGAGAGCACCTCCAAAGAAGTTTGATGCGCTTCTACTCTCGAGTGTTGACGTGCACTGTGCTGTTATTATCGTTTCAAACCTACCTTTGGTTTCGGCACGACAATAAATAAATACTCATCATCCGCTGTGAACGGCATATCGGCAATCATTCAAGTGGGCTAAAAAAATTGCAGCCCACCAAGACAAGCTGGTATCGTAGATCGCCACCGTGACAAGATGACCGTGTTCTCAACCCAGAAACACAAAAACATCACAAACACTTGAAGCAAGCACGTTTTCTAACCGTTGATCGAGGATGGATTAGGTGCGAAGAAGGTGTACCGATTCTGGTAAAAAAAGTCAATCGACGGATACCCTGCGAATCGGGCCCTCCCTAACACTCTCCACCCACAGAATTTACCCTCAACTGGGAACCTCTTGTGGCCAGGACGGGTAATTCGATGGAATTGTCACAAGGTTCTTTATAGGATCGATTCCAAGAGGTGTTCTCAGGACTGACGACACACATTGTGTCCATGGGAAAATGTCGAAGTCAGGAGAAAAAACGTGCACCCAAGGAGATTCGAACCAGTATCCTGCTGACGCCATATATATGTGTGCGAAGGTGTACCGATTTTGGTAAAAGGCAATCGACGTGTATCCTGCGAATCGGGCACTCCTTAACATAGGGTTAGTATTGTCCGACACAAACCGACCCACGACAAAAAGGAGAAAAAAAATAGCCAAACAGGGGGCAACAATTGTTGGTACATGGACGGGAGATACTCCGGCGTCCCTCTTGACCTGAGGGATGCTACAAGTACTACGTGTGGCACTGCCCTATTCCTCGCGCAGTGGTTCGTTCGGCGGCAGACATGGCCTTCAAGATACGCTCGCACACTCTGGCTGTGTGTAGGTTGCCGTACGCGCGAGCGCGCGAGCGCGGTGAATAAAGCGCGCGGAAAATTGTCGAAACCCCGGGGATTTGGTCAAAATATCCCCTCCGGGGGACATATAAGGCCCATCCCCCCCCCCCCCCCCCCCAGCGACCAAGATTGCAGCGTAGCCCAGGGGTGTTCCGATATTTCCATGTGGAGGGCCCCTTGCCCCCCTCAACTTGCCCCCCTCAACCCCCCTCTTGCCCCCCTGGTGAATGGGTTGCTCGTGAAGATCCAGATCCAACACAAGTAATCGCTAAGGGCACCCACGTCACGCAGCCGCAAGTTTGAATCCTAGCAATGGAGTCGACGATCAAACCGAAATCGATTCAGCATCCAAACAATTTGTAGTTCGCGCAGGAAGCAAGGAGGCAATCACACGGCGCAACGCACATGGACAGTTTGGCCGCCGTCGGCGGTACATCTGAGGTCGGAGGAGCGGGACGGAAAATGTATGATGTGCTACGCCAGTAAGACAAGGCTGCGCGCACGCTGTACTACGTAAGAATCTTCGCATATTGTGTGTGGATTACAAGGGTATCGAATACTTCAAGGCCATGAGTTGTCTAAACATGAAGACAACACACAGAAGCAAACACATTGCATGCCCTTGCGGACGATATTTGGTTGCCTCTACTGGTGTAAGTTAGTCACGCAACAAAGGCACAACGCGGTATCCTCACGCTCCCACCACCAAGCTAAGTAGTCAGTGCGGTGCGGTGACTTTCTTTCCCTTGTACGACAGAATAAACAGGTCTTTCCTCCTGCTGTTAAACACGGTCAGCTTTTTCACCACCGCCCGCAGGGCTCCTTGGACTCCCGTGCTGGTCCTGACGCCCCCACCGCCACCGCCGCCACCGCCGCCACCGCCGCCAGCGCCGCCGCCGTGATGAGAAGCAACAATTTCGGTGATATCGGGGGCTTTGAGAGATAGTCTGGAAGACCTGCGGGATTTTTTGTCGACGGCCACAAGCAACATCTCGAGTGGCTTGTTGCTGTCTTTGCCTCCGCCCCCACTTCCCCTGGCGGCGTCGGTACCCACGACCTCCTTAACATGAGCGGTCAAATGTACTTCTGTGCCATCGATCGTCACCACCGTCTCGAGACGAGCTAGACCAGGCGCCGTGTCAGTAGCACTTATGCCGACCTCAGGATCGTCGCTGGCGATCCCTCCTGATACCACAACATCATCGGCTGTCGTAGCGGGTAATTCAACCTGGCGTGGCGGTATCGAGTTGGCGGCTTCTTCCCGTTCAGCGGCCACATCTCGATCGACTTCGCACTGAGGTGCTGCTTGCTCAGCTCGTCGGCGGGAAACCTCCTTCCTTGCCAATCGAACCCTCGCTGCGGTTGCCAACACAACCTGTGCCCGGTTTCGCCTGTCAACGGGACGAGAAAAGTGCTTCAATAAAACAAGCTGGTTGTTGAACGACAAGTGTTCTTCAAGTGTTGGCAACAATGTAGGACCCACTCCAGCTTTGCCCGACCATGCGATCCATGTTGCCCTCCAACTTCTTTGGTCTAAAAAGACATTTTTAACTTGTCTTGATTTGTCGTTTTTCACTTCCCTACCGTCCGTTCTCAACACGTTCATATCGAAAACCCATCCCATAGGTTTCTTCTTTTCAGGCACCTCCTTCCACTTCCCTCGCTCTCACCTCTCCTCTTCAAGCAACAACTTTGCTTTCGCCTCCAATTCCGCCTTCTTCTTCTCGGCTACGGCCTGTTCTCGCAGTCGGGACAAGCGTCGCATTCCCTCGCGCTCTATGCGAAGCCACCGAGTGCGCTTCCGGCTGATGCACCCTCGCCACCATCGTTGCAACTCGATCGAGGCCTTGATCAGTGCTCTGTCCTCCTCGACATCCTACCAACCGATGCGCGTCAGCCGGAAAGGAAAACGGATGGCCCTCAACCAACGAAGAACCGAGTGAAATCAACCGGGCTTTCTTGCCGGGCAAAATACTCGAGCATCAACGACCTACCTCACGGTGAAAAAAATTGTCTTGAGAGTGTCGCTGATAACGGTGCTGCACTCTATTGTAGCAGTTGGGCGGCATTCACGAGCGTACCTGAGGCCACGCCACTTCCCTCCCTCCCGCAGTAGCGGCGCCAGCAAGCGACAGAACAACCCCTCCGGGAACCACCATCACCAGCCGGAAAGCCTTTCGCGCTATCTCGGCGCAAGCCCACACCAGCTCTCCCCTTTCGTGTAGCTCGGCGGCGCATCGCTGGGGGTCATACGAATCGCGTCTGACTCGCCGGCGGGTTTCTCCTTCAACGGCACCGCACCGCCCCGGGCTTAGATACCTACTTTTCAGTGGTTGTCGACAGGAGAAACCGACAGGTTAGAGGGTCCCACGGAAGAAGAAGAGGGGGCGAGGAAATGGATCGGGGGCCGACTTTGTTCGCACCACTTCAACCGCGCAGAACGAGGCAGGTCGACGTTTACTGTGGAGAGGGAGGGAATGGGCGAGGCATTGGTCTTGACAAGCACTTTGCTACCCATTATTGAGCAGAGAGCACGAAGATAAATCATATGAAGCGACCGACCCCGGTCGGTGCCGTTTTGTGCCTAAATAGGCCCAAAAAAACTACAAGTTTCCTCATTCGCGAAACCTTTTGGTGGTATGGTATGTGCACGAAGCCTTTACGTGGATACGTGGAGACCTACACACCTTGCGAGATCGCGGTCAGTCGCCTGGCACTCCCAGCACCCTCTCAGCATGGGGTCTGCCATGGGGCTGTTGCTGGTCGCGACAAAGTCCAAGCCGCGACAGCCTTTCCCTAGGCTCACCGTGAAAAGCATCTGCATCGGGGTCCCCAAGAATCGCACACAGCGGTAGGCGTGAGCGAATGCGATTCAGACCACGATCGATACGGTCGATGAATATACAGAACAATACGAGCACACAGAATTTAACGCACCTTCGCAAACCTCCCTCTGTACAAGCGACCCCAGGGTACTCGCGCCCCGACCTTAAGGATCGTCTTGTCAAGCCAAAACAAGTCCTCCCCGGTCTTGCGCCTGGCTGGCTTCCGGCGCAGCAGAGGGAGGGCTTGGACAGCTTGCCTGTTCTGAGACTCATCGAGGCTAACGGTGTCCCCGTCCCAGGGCGAGACGGCTGAGAATATTTTCTTCGCGGTTGTAGGCACCGGGGACCCCTGACCCCCGATGGCGGTGTTCACCGGCAACTCCTCTCGTAGGCTCCGCTGTTGCGGACGCTCTTCGTTTAATGCTGATGGATCATCGCTCGGGTCGGACGGTCCTACCAACGGGTCTACGCCGGTCGACCTGGCCGTGTTGTCTGAGGCGAACGCCTGCTTCCCCACCACCGGTGGCCGGCCATCAAGCGTCCCCTCTCTTCCAGCATCCACCGCCTTCGCGGTGGCCCGCAGTCGTCTGCAGAGGGAGGCCAAGCAAGCAGCCCAGCTGGTAGCCTCGAGGTCGCGGACGGTATCGCTACCTTCCTTTTGACGCGTTTTCAAATTGTTCGAATTCGCAGTGGAACGGTCAGCATGACTCTCTCGAGAAGGTTACCTGGGAAACGCCGACCAGGAGCAAAGCAAGCCCTAGAACACAGGATAGGAGTTACACCGTATAATGCTGCGAAATACTTTACTGCAAATTGATATAAATCCAGCTGAGAGCTGGACGACGCATCAACTAAGGTTCAAGCACCGTAAACGTCGCTTGCCCCGCGCCTAAGATCACTTCGGGTTTGTCACCTCCCCCACATACTCAGCAGCGGTGCAGCTGCAGGGCGAAAACAAGATCCATGGTACTAGATTGTCCGACAGCACCCCAAAAGGAAGATGAGTCGAAGGGGGTACGAGAGAGGGTTCACCCCCCCCGCCCCCCCCCGATAATAATGCTGCCAGGATGGCCGTTCATACCTTGAAGGGATCCTTCCACGCCAAGCTCGGCCCGACCAGCGCATCGACCTCCGAGTGCGTGAGATCTAGCGCAAACACCGCTGGCGCTGCGGGGCGTTGGTGGTAGCACCTTCCGTCGGTTGAGGCAGCAGTACACCCGGGGTCTAGATGAGCACGCCCTGAAGCGATATCGGGCAGGGGCGGTGGTGCTCGCGGAACGTGAACTCGGTGTTCTGATTCTTCAAGAGCGCTGCTGCTGCCGCTTCGGGCCTCGATGCTCGTGAGCGTACATCCGTTCATAGCCGTAGCGGCGTCAACGTGTGACGATCCTCCCTCACATCCATTGGCAGGGTCCGAAGTTGTCCTATCCGACCGAGATGTTGTTTCCAATGCAATGGGCGTGTTTTCGCGGTGTAGTAGAGCTTGTCTGCACTGCTGTTGAGGCGGACGTATCTCCAACCTCAGTCGATCACACACGTATGACACCTCCGCGAGATGGGCACCCGTTACCGCCTGGGGACGGTCGAGGCTGCTGTTCGTTGAACGCGACCAGGGGGTGTCGAGGAGAGAAAGGAGGGAGCTTGGCCAGTCAAAAAAACTCCCGGCCGAAAGGGAGGCTTTTAGAGGAAGACAAAATCCTTAGGCACGCAACACGTCGCAGCGTCAAGTACCGAGTGGATGCCACCAAGACCACATTACAGATCCTCGGATTGGTGTCACTTCTCCGAGTTCTACATGTAAGCGGAGCCGACCGACGATGCAGACGACGTGAACAGGAGAAAGCGATAAAGATCTTGTTTCGCCGTGCCTTTCCGTTGCTCACCGCTGAAAGTCAAGCGAAGGCGTATCGCTCCTTCCTGAGGCAGTACGAGCTCCCTCGGCGCTACCACCCGTGTCTAAGGAGACTACCCGAACGATTGCTGAGAGCTCCGCTACGAAGAACCGCTGGTGTTCGTCTCGGCCGATCGAAACGTACTTTCTCCGTAGAAGATGTGACCCCGAGGCTCGAAACGCCTGATCAAGTCGATAGACGCAACGGCATGAGCGTGAACTCGGAGGACTGCTGCTGCACCTACTCGAACGCAACGCAACAGTTCCAGAGTAATCTCTGGGGCTGGCGCACGGGCAGAGAGCCACCCGAGCCACACTAGACACCTTCGTCCTCGGTTCAAATCTATTTATGCCAAAATTGGTGGCATAACGTAGTGCTTACGTTCAGACTATGGCGTTTGCTGCCGGAACGACAAGACCGAGCTATTAAAATTTAACTTCTTCGATGCAGTTCAGACCCTGGATTTTCACCTCCCGAGGAAGCATGCTTCTTGGGGTGTCTTCGGTCAGCTTCACCCCTTTCCTATGAAAAACCTTGCCGGCGTACCGAACGCCTCCTCGAGCCATGGCCACGAGTTGTTCTCGCGTTTCTTCCCTCTCCTGCGCTTGGTGTCGCTTCCTGTGTAAGGTTGACAACGAAGCTTCGCCTTGTAGGGTCTTGTTAGGTGAAGGAGGGTTCCCCATCTCGTCGGCCAACGCTGAACATACCGACGGCTGCTGCTGTTGCTGCTGCGTTGTAGGGACATGGTTGAAACCACTCTCTTCCGAGTCTCGTCCAGCAACAGAGGTCTGCAGCTGTACGTTGTCGGTTCTTGGGCGGCCGACTTAGAGCGAGCGTGGAATCACAACCAAAGAACAAGCCGGCAGCGGCATCTTATGGATCAGACCGCATGCGTGCAATATCTCGCAATAACTACACTAAGCCAAACGCCTTAAGGCCCGGTATAAACGAGGTGCGAAAAATCAGATTGAAAACCAAAATCAAGCTCTGATTGGTCGAAGACAAACATATCGTCATGTCTATGTTTCCAGCCGAGCATTATTTTGATCTCCTGACTTTGAAGAGGAAGAATGTTTATTTCACAACATCACAAAATATAATTCAGAACCATAGTCGAACGATTGTTTTTCCCGGCAACAGAGCCGATCTTGATATTAATTTTTGTGGACTTTGACTTGGAAGATCGTTAGTAAACGGCCTGAGAACAGTACGTGTCATGTTCCTATTCTCTCACCACCGATTGCGTGTCTCCCTGTTATTGCGTGACTCCGCAAAACGCCGCGAGTTGCCCGACCCATCCTCCTGGCCTTTTCTTTTGGCAACCGACGCTTGACTGTCGCAGTCCGTGCGGCGACGGTGGCCTTCGACGCACGTAGTGGGCTTTTCGGTGTTGCCCTTGAGAAAAACTTTCGCCGGCCTCGGAGGGCGCCAGAACGAGCCAAGGCTAGTACCTGCCGATTGGCGAAGAAAGGGACTCGTCTGAGTTCTGGCATGTCTGGTGTTCGCCCACCTCACTCCGATTTCTCATTCACTCGTATAGGTGGCAATGCGGTGGAAGTGAGCATGCCGTCCGTACTCATCTGTTCACCATGGCCGAGGGTCTAGTAGTGTCTCTTGCACAATGCTGTGTATCACTGAGATGTGCGGTGCCTGAATGGTGAGAATTGAAATCGCTCAGGGCTTCAAGCTGGTGGTTCTTTGTGGAGAACGTCAAGGCCGAGCGAGGAGACAATGTTGCAAGGAGAGTTCCTGAAATGTCTCCGCCCCCTGCAAAGTTTTGCAAACACCTATTTGAACCTTCGCAGGAGCACCAAACTCCCTCGAGCAAAATGGCTCGTCAACGATAGAGAACGTCTCACCAGCGGATGCATATCTTGCTTTGCGTTTCGAATGTGATGCTGTATTTTTTTTTTTTTTGTATTTTTTTTTTTTGAATCCCTCGTTCGCGCGCGTAGGTAGACGAAGTTGGTGTACAGGAATGATTTTTGACTCACATCACAATATTTCCCAGTATGAGGCGTGACGACGGACATCAACAGCATCGGTCGGTCTTTGATCAATTCCGATCAATTCCTACGGTGAATTTGGCGTACATACGTTTTAGAGTTCATTAAACGAGACATATGCCGACGAACACTACGACGAATGAATGTCGCGAAAACGCAGTCAATATGCACCGTACCTGGAGCTGCTCCGTGCTTAGATTCCATTCGACCCCCTCCACTACAGATTCCACGCCCATCACATGCGCCTGTTCCGGAGAAGGACTTGCCGCTGTCTTCTCGATGCTTCTACTGGTAGCAGCCAGAGCCTGACTCGCGGCATGTTTCGCAGAGTCACCCCTGCTTGGCAGACAGACGCCGATTGATTTCATCGATGTTGGAGTATTCTCCTCCTCGCCCACCTCGAATCAGGGGCATCGTCGCCGAAAAATAGTCAAACGCCACACTCAAGCAAGAGGTACAGATCGACCCGCCCCGGTAGACAGAAATAGTCTGTTGAACCAAGGCTAAAATTTCCCAAAAAAGCAAGTAGGGTCAAGAGACAGAAAGGGCAGCGGTGCATCCCACAGCAGCAGTACATCCATATACGTATGTAGTCGATGCTAACCTATGCTCGCCGGGGGGAGAAATATGAAAGTGAGTCTCGACCGACGTGACGTACTACTGTAGAGATAGTCTACACTTGTCTTTACCAACACTTGCGTTCATGCTTACCCAATCGCCGCTCGAGCTCGTTTGCTTGAGGCACGTGCACTTGCAAAGCCGAACGATTTCCAAGCCTGTTCTGCGCTCCCTTGAGAAGCTCGACAAACGAACTTGCCGACCGGGTTTATCTTTGGTACCAATATCATCAGCAAGGGGCACAAAATTAGAGCAGCGGGTGTGATTAGTCTGTAGAGGAGCGCTTGATTTACAGGCCCGGGAGAGAGCTAAGGTAGTTCCTTCACTGTTGTGGTACTCCTACAAGGACATGTCTAGTAGACTTGTACAGTCCATGATGTTACTGCTACAGTACGTCGTTGTATGTTTTACCTTCCAGTGGACCTTTTGCTCACCACTCTCCCCGTACGGATAAGCCTGGAACCAGCTCCGTTTGAAATATCGCTTGTGGCTCTATCGTGGATCACAACCCACAGTTCTACTAGATTATACATGTACTGCTTGCTGTATGTGTGATGTAAGAGAGGTTACGGGGCTTGCGGAGGAGGACCAGCTACTAATACATGTCGTGTGTTGGTGGATCCACAGAAATCCACAATTGTCATTACATAGCTCCCAGACTTTTGTGACAGCCTGGTTTCAGAATGTACGTAGCCACAACAAAGGCGTGCAGACTATGTACTGCTTCATGTGCAGCACCTTCGTAGCCAAATTTTCGCCTATGTAGCGAATCAGACACCGGACGTGCGGCTTGACACTCTTATCATATCGGGCCGACGCCAAAGCGCCAGAACGCACCTGGCGCCCGCACGCCGAGCAGAAAGCGCCTGTGCACACTTGATTGCAGTTGGCACATAGCTCTCCAGGTGTGTCCAGGCGTCCCTGCATGGTGCACGCTCGATGGTGGATTTAGCATGGCAGCATGACAAGAGCCATGGGTGGCTTTGTGCCATTGGATTGTTGTCGGTCGCCCCCGCCAATTTGGTTTGCTCGGCACGAGTGTTTCGTTTCAAAAAAACACGCCTGCGTCACGTACACATTCCGATACAATTCTGACTTTTTCGGACCGGGGGGGAGAACATGCGAACATTCGTTCTCGCTCCGAGATCTGATCTCCTGCTCCCACCACGATCTTGCCCCTCCTGCTGGCCTCAGCCCGAATCTTCCTTTGCCTCGGCCGAGCCTGATACCGAGCAAGGTGAGCCCAAGCCAGCAAGAAGGGCCCAACAGGATGTGTTGGAGTATGTTGAAGTGAGAAAGTTTCCCCGCTAAAAGCCTCCGGAGTACTGGCATACAATGAATGGGTGCGCTTGGCAGTTCAGGTCGAGGCCACAGCAGCAGCAGGTCAATGCAACAATGGCGTTACCACTCATCTGTTTCTAAACCCGCGCACCCCTCTCATCTCCGATCGGCAATCCTTCTGTTGCTGGAGGTGCGAATGTGCGAATGCAACGTTTTTTTATGAAACTACCGCTCGCTGTTGCAGCGTTGTTTGCTTCTGTCTGGGTGGTCAATCGTCCTTATACTACTATCTTCTCCTCCTCGTCCCTCTGTGACCGTTACACGCAAAGCAGGTTCTCCGTGACAACATGAACATCCCAAACATCCCCTTGCCCAGGGGTATGAACTACCGGAAGTACATCAGACACGTGAGTCGTAGAGCAGTGTATTCTACGAAGTTCAACGCAAGATGTTCGGAGAAAAAATCACTTGGTTTTATCCCCTCCATTCGGTCTGAGGTCGTCCACCTCAGTACAGCAGCAGATGTGCAAGACCTTCTTCATAGCAGTTTCTTTTTTTATTTGGCGATTTGCATCTGAACAACGACCTACAATCCACATTCGCGCTTTTGTTGTCGCAGGGCCGGAGGTTGTACAATCTCATCAAGGGCATGTTCAACTAGATGCTGGAGCCGCTGTGCGGATGGAAGGAATGGCGGGTATGGCATTGTTCGACCGTACACCGGGCTCTTCTCGTCGGTTGATGGATGCCTGCGCACCACATCATAACTGGACTGGTGTTGCAACACGACCACATGGAGGACACGTAGTTTGGAGAAGAGGAATGAACTCGTGGAAGCAACGGTCGCCGCCAAAGCGGGTTGGTTTGTCGTCCCAGTAGCCTCGCAGGGTGTTTGCATGTTGGATGAAGCATGCACGCGGGGAAATTGGGTTTATTTCTCGGGAAGGCGGTCCGGGATGCTTCATCATTTAGAAAGCACCTGCCGCTACTGCAGCGAAAGTGTGGGATAGGTGCAGAGCAGCACTACTTGTAGCTGGATTTACGTCTGATTTTTCACCATGTTGTCTTTGTTTTATCGCTCGAACAGCCGTGGGAAACAGCAAGCGCTCCCTGCAGCGATAACAAACGTGCTGTGTGTGGAGGGGGGGGGGCGTACTCTTATGTTTTGCATGCCTTAGCGGTTAGACCATTGACCACGCGTCCTCGAGAGGACGGAGCATTGTTCCCACAGGACCGATCACCGATGGCCAATCGTTCCTTCCTACTTTGCCAAAGGTGGCTCAAAAATGTCTTCCCTAGTCTGTCTATCCTAACGATATCCCTTCCTGCCTTGTGGAGGGGGGGGGGGTGGCGAAACGGTTTGTTTGTTTAGTCGCTCTCATCATTCTGAGGCAGCGCCTGTGACTGTTAATTGTTCGTAGGAAAAGACGCGAGTGTATGGAAATCAGTGTCATGGCACATCTTGACAAGGCCAGCGAATCCGACTTGTACGTCCTGTATGGGCGAAAGACGCAGCTTGAGCGCACGGCGTTGTCGACAGAGGACACATTATTATTATTGGTATTTTGCGCAATAGTGTTTGTGCTGAAGGTTAAAATGCGCACGTCCACTCTCTGGTGTGGTGTAACTGCTCATGCTGTAGCTCCGGAACATGTGTAAAAGTGTTCGTTTTGGGTAGAATAACAAGTTTGGCCTCACACAGATGCCCCACAGCGGTCTGCTTGTAGTCTAGTCCATGTAGATTTGTACCATGTGGATTTGTACATGGATTTTTTTACGGATATTGGTCAGCCGGATGTATTGCACGCACGAGGTGGTACCACATTGAGCCTTCAGCAGCGTGGTATGGGCCTTCAGCAGCGTGATTTAGGAAGTGCATGCGTTTCCATTTTCAGAGCGCTTCATCATCTGCGCCTACCCTGTGCAGAGTACAGGAGGATCGGGAGGCATGTGTACATTGAGAATATTACGCTTTTTTTTTTGCCTTGAGCGACGTCTTCGGACTGGGACAGGACCTGAGTGCTTCGTCTCTCTTGTTTCTTCGATGTTGGTGCACCTTTCACGCGTCGAAAAAGCTGTCGCGAAGCTGGTGCGACTGCCGCGCGTGGAGGGGCAGAAGACCGCACTGCTTTTTTTCTCGCAGAGGTGCTCGCGGCACGTTCACCTAGCCGGGCTCAAGCGCGTGTTCTGTCGCCGACTACCGCAAGAAACTGACAAGAAAGCGGCGGCTCTACACTAATCATTCTAGTACCAACGGGTGACCGGGCAGTGTCGTGCAGCCGTCTCACTTCCAGATCTATCTTCGTGCTTCCGAAGTATCATCTCCATCACTTGTAGGCAAGAAGCAACAAGAGAGTTCTTCACCAAAGCGTAAAATGCTCGACAAAATTGGCATTTGTTTCAAAACATCTGCTAACGTGTGGCCAGACATGCGGAAGAAATGATCGGTATGATACTGGAAGCCGTTACGACAAAGAGCTGTCTCCTTCTGGAACGCAAAGTTCGAGGGCACCGCAGAAACCTGCCAGGCATACACCACCGCCCGTGGCGGACATATTCCGCAAAAGTGGGCGACCTATCTGTCCCACACCGCCAACTTGTTCCCGGAAGGCACTCAGGGCTCACTTTGGAGCAACACCGCTGTTCAAAAAGGACTGGTAAGCAACGAAAAGGAGACTACAGGCAATTCGCGTCTACGCATTTGTGTCGAAAGCCGCGCAGGCTCTTAGACAAGCTCTCGGGGTTGCGCCCCGCTCGCGTTCGATGTGGCATCCGCTTGCGAGAGGCGGGTGGTAAGCCGCCGGCGTAACCGTCACGACAACCCAGATATGGTCGCCGCGCAACAACTACTAGAAAAAATGGTGGAGAAAACGCGCCACCTTCGCAGCTGGCAGGAACACGATCCCCCACGCCATCCGTGCGCATGTAAACAGAGCACGCTACAACCACAAGAAAGCTCCTGGTGAAGCGACAGTTCAACAAAACCATTGAGCGGTATCTATTCTGCTTGGTTTCGCCGCATGCGCCAGGGAGGTACACGTACCGTGACAAGGTATTTGCGGCATGCTCTGATCGATCCCCGCCCACGTTGACCCAATGATCTACTCCCTCGTCCTCTCTGGCTTTTCCGCTGGCACAAGGCTATACGTCTTTCACAGCAGCAGCAGAGCAAGGAAACTACCTCCCTGGTACCCCAGGCACCCCGCCCGCCGCTGGACCCCCCACCCCCCCCTGCTGCGCCGCTAGGCTCTCCTCTGCTCGCTTGAGGATCACACCGACCTGTGCGACAAGCGGCAAAAAGACAGGACCCGTTATAGCAAACGTACAACGACAAGTTGTCACAGGCGGCTGGTGGGCGCCGGTACGCCAACTTGCCCTTTAGTCAGCTAAATACCTTCACTGCATAAAAAATTCTCCGTCTGTCTGTCTGTCTGTCTCTCTCTCCCCCCATCTCCCTCCCTATCACTGTTTGGCGATACAAGCAGAGGATGGTCGAGACATCACGAATCTACCAATGTATCTTAAGCTATGCTACTCTTGTCGAGTTGAATTTGAACGTGTTCTCGTTGAGGCCCGCGCAGTGGGACGTTCCCAGCAAGCAGTAACTCAGGGAAACCTTGACACCAACGGCAATAGCACTCTATCCTCCCTTGTCTTCTGCGATGTCGGTCTAAATCACCGGGTGTCAGGGTGTGTGTGTGGAAAAAACGTCCGCGGCGAAACCCTGCAGTTAACCATCGATTTCCTACCGAATGGTTGATCTAAATGGAGATATCTATCGAGGCGCGAGGGATGACCCCTCTATTTTAGGCCAATCGAAGCGGTTGCATGCTCATGCTCGAACATGCGATGTCTTTTCCTCCTCCCTACTGCGGTTCTAGGCTGGCATGCTCTACTTCCTGGCTGAACAACATTTCCGTCATGGTTGTCATAAGCAGGGAGCTCCAGGCAGTATAGCTAGCAACACTTCGAAGCAACACTGGGTGTAAGCTTGGCAAAGAAACGAACACCCTCCCTTGACAGTGTAGGTACGATTGGGCATCGGTGATCGGTCCTGTGGGCACAATGATCCGTCCTCTCCAGGACGCGTGGTCAATAGCCTAACCGTTTAGGCACAAAACATATAAGTACACCCCCTCCCCCCCCTGGTGTTTGTTATCGGGGTTGGGTTTTCGTCCCTTGGCAACGATGCTGTAAAACAAGCCGATCACTTCGTGAGCTCGGCAACCAGGTTACCGGGGTTTTTTGCCTCTGCTTCTTTTTTTTTGCGGTGACCATTATGGTGGTCGAGTAGATCATGTTGTGCGGGGTGGAGAACCCTCACTCCGCGCAAGGGGGATGATCGCACCACGTTGTGTTAAAATTGGTCAAGCACCCTCGAGGCAGTTACATAATGCTTATAACTGTCTCTGGAGATGAAAGCACCAGAAAATAAATTAAGTCATACGCAGCTGTCATCCGTACGCAAGGAAGTAAGCACAGGATGCCGAACACCCTTAGCAGGATGCAGCGCACCGTTCATGCGACTCGCCAAATACCTCACGGCGCTTCGCGCTTGGTGATGTGAGAGCCTGGTCCGGTGAGAACCCGGCGTGCTCCGTCCCGGCTTTGTAGGGATGCGAGGTCAATGGTCTAACGACTACGGCATGCACGACTATGAGTACCCCCCCCCGATGGACTTTGCGCCCCCGGTGTGCCCGTGCACCTGTCTACGCCCCAAAAATACGTTCGTCAAACCCCGTTTGCCAGAGCCTTACATGTTCACCCCTGTAATGGTGCCACAAAACAGTCTCGTTTGAGGAAGCACCAAGACAAATGCAGCATTTTCTCCTGAACGAGGGAGTGTTGCAGTAGATTTTCATCTGCACACATCGTACACGGTATGCGTATGTGTGTATGCATGCATCTTTATCAATATCTTGGTCTCAGCGAGGACTTGTCGGTCTCGCACACACCTTTTCCTGCGCCTCCATGTACTTGCTGACGCATCGATCCACGCAGCTCATTTCCCCCACGTTAAGGTCTGACTCCCCGTGCATCTTGACGACGCACTTCTTGAAACACAACCCGCTCATCCTGCCCGCCGAGCAGATGTTAGGAAGGGAGGGGGGGGGTGAGACATTCGTCGGTAGCTTTATTTGTGGCCGTCGATTACGCGCCCCACATTCTCGACACGGAGGAGCACCGTTCCCCTCGTCCGTGTCGAAATGTACTCCAAATAGAGATACCACCGATAACCGGGTGCTATTTAGTAGCTTTTCCATCACGCCCACTGCTGTGTTCTACGTGGAAAAGGGATGTCTTCTCGTCCACTCCTCTTACAGGCGAACGGTAATCTCCTAGTGAACCAAAGCGGGGAAGCGGGGAGGGGGGGATTCATCATGCGTTTGGCACACAACGCCCCTTCTTCGATAACCGTTGTTGCGTGCCATCCCCGCCGAGATGGCTTGTGGTAGCCCCCTATACTATATGTCATGTGCCGACGTTGAGTGCAGTATTTGGCACTTCGAATAAAGAGCGTCTGATACTTGTACACCACTGTATTCGCCTGTTCATATGAACGGTTTGGTCAAACACACATACGGTGAGCTCACATAGCAGCTGTGAAACGAGCTTGCACGAGGCCTCGAAGGGAACACATCGGCAAGGCGTCAGGGCATTCGTTATCAGACTGATCACAGCACCGGCTCTGGTCACATACGGTGCGCTGCAAATGGAGCCGCGAGCACGGTACGAGCTCGTTCCCCCCGCTGTTCGACCGAAGCGAGGCATGGACAGGTCCCTCCGCAAGGACACCGATGTCATAATATAATAGTACGCTTTCTGCACTCGCAGCCTGCATCCGACACCGCCAACGCCTGTGGCTTCGCCGCCGCTCTGGTCGTTCGTACCTACCGCAGGAGCAACAGTAGTCCTCAACGATCGACCGCTGTTCTTGGGTATTAATCCAACCTGTGCGTTGTTGTGGTGATGATACTTGGCATACAGTAGTTCTGGTGTGGTGGTGGTCCAACGTAGCTTGTGTCTGTAGACGAACGCACACCCTACAAACAAGAATACCCAGCAAACAGATGAGTGCGAGGGATGCCGACCAACCAAACTGGGACTCTGGTTACGCCTGTCCCAACGCCGTCGGTGTTGCCTAGAGAGGCACCTCCGAACAGCAGACATGGCATGCACGAACTAAAGTACTTGCGAATTACCCAAAATCTGTCTCACTTTGTGAATAGGTCAGAGTACATATCGACCTCCTGCTTGGCGAGATCCATCGGACTGGGCCCCGAAGGCGGCTCTGGCTCCGAATTCCCGAACCAGCTCATCGTCGATAGAGGCTGTGCACGAAGGCAGGGTGGCTGGTCGTGTGTGGGAGACAGGAAGCCTGGCCTGTGTCGCGCTCGTGCCTGGGGCGCCGTGCGTTGGTGTGCGGGGCGGGGAGCGGCGGAATGGGACAATGGACGGAGGGGGCATGCGGGTTGCGAATAGAGAACCGGTTCTGAATATCGGGTTTTGTGAGGGGTGAGGGGTACGTCACCAATCACCAAGTTACGAATGTCACTGCACGGCACTGCTGTGCTTCGCTGTGTTGGTTGACGGACAGGGAGGAGTAGGGCTGGAGACAGGAGGGAAGTGCACGCATACGTACGCGACAAGTAATAACGGCGGCTGAGGCAGAGGAAACTGAGAGGTCCAAGACGTCAAGGGTCAAGGGGGTCGCGAGCTGAGGTCAGTCTTGCGTATTCGTACTCTCGTTGTCACTCGAAGGAGCTAAATCGTATTACCCATGGGCAAGGGCAATGCTATACGGAGTAAGTCGTTTTCGTTCCGGCTCTGGCATCATCAGAGCATTCTCAGCGTAACAAGTAGGGTCCAGATGTGCAGGTGTCGTCCCTCAACCCGCACTTAAAGATATATCCCTCCAAACGCGGCGTCTACAACCTCCAACGGGAAGTTGTTTAGTTTTTTGGTCCGCGTGCCCCTACTCTGCACCTGTTTGCATACCACCATCGAGTTTAGAGTGGGAGGTGGGAGGCTTCTGCTGTGTCAACGGCATCGCCGGCGGCAAGGAACCTTTTCTGTGCTGCGAAGCGGTGCGACCCCTTACATCACACATCGTATCGACGGTAAGCTATTATATACGCGCAACATGTGTTATGTCACGAGCAACACGATGGAGTATGTGCTCGGTACCCCTACATATCTTATCGATCGAGTACCGGAGTTTGGCCTGCATCATCATTCTTATGTACATCATTTTCTAACCCAAGACACAGTCAGCGTTCCCCCGCGACACACAGCAGCAGTTCTCGTAGCTCCGCCTCGCCCGTTGGTGCAATGGCCGTGGTTCAAGCTCACCGTAAACTCACACTGCTGTCAACTTTATTCGGGGGCATGGTTATCTATTTACTCAGGCCAGCCAGGTTTAGAATATCGGATGATTTTCATGTTGTTGGGCACGTCTTCCTCCGTGCAGCGGCAGCGAATATTTTCTCGCCCTTCATTCTGAGGGGCCGGGCGATGACCCACCCGGGCCGTTTCGAGGTGAAAACACCCGAGGACCACCGACACACCGCCACGTGGTAGAAACGCGCTCAGCATGCTGTCTTGCTTCACGCTCGGGACTGCTGTAACCAACATCCTAGACGAATGGAACGCCCTTCAAAAAATGAGTTGTTGTTGCTGTTGTTGTCTTCACATTACAAAAATGAGTGCAAGAGATGCGGACGCGGGGGGCAATCGCCTCCGCCCCGCCCTGTTGTGGTAGTAGGTGAATACATGAGAAAATCGTAGCACAGCGTTTAGAAGGGGCGTGAAAGACGGCGTACGACATATTTATCACCACGTGTGTTGTGTTGATGCACATGTGCCGGTGTGCCGGGGCGTGGTGATTGAAAACTACACAAGGTCCAAGAGGGGAACCCGACCGCGGTGCTGCAAGGGATGTTGTTGCGCGCGGTGAACATTGACGTAGAACTAAAGAGTCGAGATGACCAGAAATGTTTTTTTTTCCGGCAGGTATTAATTAACAACAGTTTGCAATTGCAATGTAAATAGGAGGAGAGAGGGTGCGCTTGAGGCTGAAAAGAGAGGTTTGTTCGCGCGTTGTGAGGTAGGTCAACAACCCCTCTCTCAGGCGTGACCACTACTCTTTGACCACTACTCTTCACAGGGTGTGGCGTAGCCATGAAATCAGATCCCGAATACGCATCCAGACTCGAGTTCAAGTCCGGAAGAGTCACGGATTTCTCGTTTTGATTGGGTAGCAAAAAGACACTCTCCCCCCATTGATTCTTCCGAGGCATGCGTATCTTGCACCACATGCGCGCGCCGCGCGCACGTGCCACCTCCCCCAATCCCACACAACACACCTTCCTCCGTCGCACACCAAAGCAAGTGAGAGAAAGAGACAGAGAGAGAGAGAGATGGGGGGGGGGGGGGGGGGGACCCCAAACGGGGGTGCCCCAATCCTTAAAACCATTACCCCCCCCCCC